AGCAATTTTTTCCAATGAGGGTGGTGAAGCACTGGAACAGGTTGCCCAGAGAGGTGGTAGATGCCCATCCCTGGAAACGTTCAAGATCAGGTTGGACGGGGCTCTGAGCAACCTGGTCTAGTTGAAGATGTCCCTGTTCATTGCAGGGGGGTTGGGCTGGATAACCTTTAAAGGTCCCTTCCAACCCAAAGCATTCTATGATTCTATGATTCTATGATTCTACGATTCTACTTGCCTCTCCTTTTTATTCTGGTACCTCCTGTTTTCATTCCAAGTTACTTTATTGCATGTTTTCCCAGTCTATCCAGATTAGGCAAAAAAATTTTTGTCAAAGGTACATAATCACTGAAGGATGCAGCTAGGCACCCACCCAAGCAGGTGCAATCCCATAAAATTTCCTTGGATGCTTAAGCCCCTTCAAAAATCTGCCCCTGAATATTTCAGAACAAGGGCTTAGCTTTCCTGGAAAACAACAAACGTTTGTGAGTGTCATTAAAAACTACAGGACTGGCAAGAATTTGGTTAAAAGACACCAGTATAGAACACAACATAAAGATAGGGCATAACTGGAGAAAAGCAATCTGAAGAAAAGAGATTAATACTTCTGATAGTTTAGGAAAATGGAAAATTACTGAGAAAAGGCACTTCAAGATAACTCTGATTTCTGGCATTGCTTCCAAAATATGTTAGCTAAATTCCAATGTTTTTCTATGCAAATCCAATAGCTATGAAGGTGTAACATATATCTTCCAGCAATAGAGTTGTCCCTTCTATAACCTCATGACTTAACAGTGCCGACAAATGTACAAAGCTTTACTAACAGTAGGACCAATGGATTTTGGAGCATGTGTAGTAATGATTTAATGTAATAAAATTTTGTGTCATGATTAGAAACAAGATTTTCTTACCATTATCAGAGGCCAAATCATGCAGGTCTAAGAGAGACTGCTAGATCACAGTACTACAAGTCATTTTTGTCTCTTTCTGCTACAGAAAAAAAAGGAGAAATCTTTCATGCCACCCCTGAAACAAACTAAAGGTCAGCCTTTGAATGGTATCCAAACCCTTTTCTCTTACAAATAAATTCTCTTACAAATAAATTGCTGTACTGCAAACTCCGGTAGTTTGTCAGTAGTTCATTGCTCCATGCAGCAGCAGAAGGAACATGGCATGACAGCAAAGTATTTAACTAATTGAGTCTAAGTTTCTGCAGATTTGGAACCCCCTTTGTGTTCCAAAACAACCACTGGCAACAGTGAAAAGTTCAGCTGTGGATACGTGTGTTCCTGTGAAGGTATGAAGAAACCAAGCACTAGTTTATCGACAGAAAGTCAGCCGGTACTTCATGACAGAGCACAAATAAGTACCTGAACTATAGCTGACAACCTTTAAGGGGCTTACAGAGCCTCACCCAGAACTGATGTCCCCTTTTTCCCTTCTAAAAAATATTGGGCGTTCTCCATGTTATCTGCAAAATAAATGACTGCCTTTTGTCAATATGTTAGCACTCCCTTCTCCATTGTGGTTATCTTTCCCCTCTTGTAATTTATGGTAAGTGCAGAATATTGCTCCTACTTAACAAAGAATTATCCTTTTAACGCCACAGAATAATCCCACAGTATAGTTTATAGCTTGTGATCAATCTTTTCTAGCTGGCCACGTGTTGTTGTGCTGCTCCTCACTGCTCTGAACATCCCTGGCAAACAGCAGTCGTTTTCTGGTGGTACAAACACTATCGGTTCAGTACTGAGATAGCCGTGCGTGGCTGACTCGCCAGAGGAAGGCATACAGCATTAAATGAATAATTGTGAAAGGTGTATGAAATTAGGGTGAAAGCTTTTATTTTCCTTCCACTTGATTTGCATTTTGTTGAGAGGGTGGTTGGAGTACCTGACACTCTCACCTATGAGGTTTCAAATGGGGACCACTGAAATAGCACAGGAAGAGGCTGACCCCTCCTCTTTAGTTACCTTGTGCTCTCTGGTGAGTGCAGCCCCAGCTAACTTTTGGAAGACTGAACTGCGGTAACACACCCTTACGTTAACTTATATGGGTACATTTCTCCCTCCAATCTAAGGAGAAAAAGAATTTAAGATACCTCTCACAGTACACTTCGATATTGCATTCATCTTTGTACGTAGACTATCGGAGTTTTTGGAAAGCATTTTAAAAAGTAAAAGAAGGGAAAAGCATTCCCAAATGTGATGGTTTTACAAAAGGGCAAGGATCCCTCTATTTCTTGCTGTGCTACCCTGTAATGTTTTTCTTTTGAGATTCTCCTTTTTAACTGAAACTGAAAATTAAAAGTTTTCTAGGTAGCTAGAATTAATTACAGTGTGCATGTGTAGCAAGTTTTATTGCAATAGGGGTTTTCACTGCTATTTTATCTTCACTGCTATTTTATCTGAGAAAATCAAAATGCAAACATATGCAGAGAAGTTGATTTGGCCTTTACCTTCTTCAGTATAAAGAAATATTAAAATTTAAAACTCCAGTATTTTTATTGAAATAAATGTTGTTCTCACCACAGAGCAATAAGGATGACTCATAAGTACATCTCCAAGTCAAGCATTTTACTGCGTATAAACCTTATGATTTGACACTTTCACAAATCAGAAACTGTTCTGCAGCTGAATATCACATACAGTTAATACTGTATCTTGGGGGGAAATGTTGGAATTTTACATTATAGAAGTTAATTAATAAAACTTTGATGATTAACATAATATGGTCAGGAAATATAACACTAATGGTAAGCAATCAAAACACCAGACACTATTTTCTACTTTGTTCAGCTATAAATACAAGAATGCAACAGCTAACTGAATTGGAGAAAAATTTTAATTACAGACCTTTTAGACTATTTCAATTCTATTTTTTAAGCAGAAACTACTAGATATTCAGACCATATCTATAGTTTGTAACCTGAAATCCTAAATGATACTCTGTTAACCAAGTTGTAGGAATTATTCTTCCTACTTCGGCTTTCTCTCCAGAAAATCACTTTCAGATCTTTTGGAATTGGACCAGATGTAAGCATGAATGAACTGAATAAAGTCTAAAACCTGATGGCTGCTAAACATTTACGTAACTTTAAACCAAATTACTGCCCATGTTAATTTGTATTCAAAGGCCGCTGGTGTTAAGCATACATGAGAAGAAAAACTCAGCTAAAAATGGATGCCCACCAAATACATAAACACGATGTCCAGAAAAATAACAGATTATGAAGAACATCCTCTCTTCAGTAACAGATGCTGCTAATCTGATTTACAAAAAAAATACATTGCTTTGTGGGTCATAGGGTGCAACCACAACTGAAAAAATGTTGTGGCCTTTTAGTTAAAGGCATGGAATCAACACTATTAGTGAACCAGGAGACAGCTACAGAAAAAAAGAAAAAGAGATGAAACTCTTTTCACCGGCTTCTTCCAGGGGCTGTATGGGTGTGCTTTCTTCTCTAAAACAGAAGAAAGTTATTCTATGAGGGAAAGCTTTTCAACAGAACACTTAAAAAAATATAGGTTAAAAGAGTAAAGAAGAGAGGGCTAAAGCATTTCTCTAGCAATCACAATAATTCTTTGATCTTCTTCATTCCATTAACATCATGGATTTTATCCAGGTAACAATAGCTAAGGGGCCACAGGATACATACGTAAGGTATGTTTAGATTACCAGTCAAATGCATATTTTTGAAGAGCTTTTACGGGATGTGCGAAATATGCTGAAGCAGGAAAATAAACAACTGTGCAATGTAACAATGGTTCTTACCGTTTCTTTATTAGTTTAAAGGAACCTGGAGCTAATAACAATCTGCCTCTTACAGTTCAGAGCAAAGCTATTGATACACAGCTTCTTACTTTGCATTGGCTTCCCTTGGGTAGTTGTTGAGAACAGTTACATACAGTACAGAATTAAATTTTTCAAACTTAATACAGCATGTAAATTAAGGGAGGAATCTCTAGAGTCTACAGTATTCGTGCCTTAACTGGTTTTCTATGTTTTCCTATATATTTTTTTCTTTTTTTATACAAGTCTTCTCCAACATTGTCAGATCTGTATTCTTAAAGATGACAAATGGTTACAAAAAGTCTCAACTTAGACATGCTACAAAAATCAAATCATAACTGAAAAATTGTCTGATTAGCATTACACTTTTGTGTTTAATGAGGTTTAATATATGCACAGGAGAACACTATGTTAATTTTTTACTTGTTTGTGTCCTGTAGAAGTAAGAGGATACCACACAGAAATTGAAACCCGCCCGGCATTGTTTTGTCTGGATTACAGTTCAGCACATTAAACAGGTTAGATCTATGGCTACATGACATACCAAAACCATAACATCTTCCAATTTCAACAGTGTCTTGTGAAGGTTCATTTTGTACCAGCACTTTAATTCAGCACATTCTGATTAAATTAAAATTTCTGTTGGTAAGAGGCAGTAATGAACTGCTAGAAATGTACTCTCATACAATGTACAGCTTCAGCTGAAACTTTTGAATTGTGGAATTAAATCAAAATAATGCTTTCAATTTGGCAGCAGCATATCTGACCAAGGCAAAAGGGATGCTGAAGACAACAAAATTCTGTAAAGTAATCTTCACGCACAGAATGGCACTTTTCAATGATCTCATGCAACACAGTCAAGTACATGAATTGCAATGGGTAGCATGATGGACTGACCGAAGAAAAGATGCATTCACAATGAGACTTGAGGCAGACAAATTATTAGTCAAAAGGCAGCTTATGTGGCAACTTTAATACTTAAAAAAGGCAGTAACTTTAAAAGCCCTTTACTTCACATTTTAGATAAGAGCTCTCACTTCTGTAGATATTAATCAGTATCTCTAGAGTAAACCCCTTATTGAGTTGAAAGAAACACAAGTTAGTTGAACCGC